ATGTGAGCACAACAGAGTGAAACTGTGTGCTCCAGCAGAAGAGCCAGTGGCCCATGTGTTCCTCCTCCTGAATGAGGAGTATGGGACAGAGTTACCACCTGAGATGCTAGGTGCCACCCATGCTGTGCGGCTGACCTGAAATGGTGGCAAAGAAGAGCTGCTTTCCCTTGTTTTGATTTATGAGCCTAAGGCTTGCATAATTTTTAACTATGCCATATTACAAGCTGTAACCTGACAGGATGCAGCGGGCAGTGGCTGTATTGCTGTCCTCTGCTCTCCACCATGGAAAGGTGGGTCTAGCCGTGCCTGCTCTCTGGGGAAGTTTTCATAAGGATGGAGGATCCAAGTCAGCAGATTTCCTAAGACACTTCCACCCCTGGCTGCCTGCAGGACCCCTGTCCCACTTTCCCAGAACCTCTAATCCCAAGTTATTATAATTAGTTCCCAATATGTATTATCACCCAAAGACCAGAATCAGCATCTGGGTCTGAGCATGCCAGGCGCTGGGAGGACGCACAGTGCAAATGCATCTCTTCCTCAGGAACCAAATCTAACATACGACACGATGCAACAAGAAGGGTTAGACATCGGGGAATGGAAAAGCAACCTGTGGTTTACAGACTACTTAATTGCATAAATCAATAGATAAATCAATGTTTTCTTGAGATAAGTGAAATGAATCAAATACCAGAAATCTCTGTCAGTCATGTAAGAGCTGCCACAGAACAAGCTCATTTGCTTCAGGACTGGCTCCACAGTACCAAGCAAGGCACACACTTGCTGCAAAGCAGCATACTCAGGGGATCCAGCTGTACCCGAGTGTTTAATCTGAAAAGCCTGAAAGCTTCAAATTTGATTGCAACTGGTCTGCAAAATAACTGGCACTGGTTTTGGATCAGAACTTCAAAGAAAAGTTTCGAATGATCATCTGTTAGACCATCAAGGACCTGAGTAATTACATATCTGATGAGAGCCCTGTATACAGGGGGGAAAAAACAGTCTAAAACAGAGTATAATTTGCTTTTATTTCATTTTGTCTCCAATAATGATACATTATTTATAAAGTCCAAAGAAGTAAGAAATAAAGTAAGATTTTCTGTGAGGCATTTTATTTATAAGGAAATGAGTTAAACAAATGAGCTAATTAGGAAAATTAAGGATAGAAATATTGATTCAATATGTAAGACATGCACACATGGCTACTCAGGAAATCCTGTTGTAAGAAATTACCAAGGCCAGATTACCAGACGCATATCTGCTAAAAGATTAAAACAATCAATGTTGGAACTGCTTTTTCTCAAGAAACTGGGTGCTGTCAAATCCGCTCCTTTCAAATCATTATATATCCCCACTGGGTCAACTTCCGGCTCGAAGCCAAGTCTTCAATCAGTTTTCGGCCCAGTTTTCTTGCTGCTTCAGTAGACATAGTCTTTTGCCAGAGCTTCAGCAGCAATCCGCCTTGCAAAGAGACACAACATGACATTGTCAAATTAACATGGAGCACACACAGCTCGTGGCACACGAGGGATGAAGCGCACGTCTGGCAACAGACACCCACCACTCTCCTGTGGATAGTGAAATGTAGACAAAGCTGGAGCGTGCCGATGGGGTAATAATTGCCTACAACTGTGTGAGGAGACACAGGCCATTCATTCAGCTCAGGATCCTTTGTATTGATAGACAACTGGGCTTGTTCCCTTGTCACCAGTGTTGCAAGTCAAAATGATTGAAGACGCGTGTTAAGGTCTTTTTCTGCAATTGCACATAGCTTCATGGCTTATGAAGCAGTGGCCTGGCAGTTATAACCATGCACGTCTTTGGTTTTACTCCAAAGCAACCAAGAATTTGCACTTCTGCCAGCTAAAGCCTCAAGCTAAAGAAGCAAATAGCAAATAATCCTGATACTGTCATCCAGGCAATGAGCAGTGGCTCTCTAGGAAGCATGCCTGACCAGTCCAGCATTAGCACCAGTTTGCAAGATAGTAATTGCCTGCTCCCCACTCCTCTCAGTGGTATAGAAAAATAAACTCCTTTTAGTTTTCTAGTAGACTTTTTCTTATCCTAGTAAGTTTTCTTTTTCTTTTTCTTACCCTAGTTTTCTTTTTCTAGTAAGAAAAAGTCTACTAGAAAACTAAGAGGAGTTTATTCTCCAGCAAACCATGCTTTTGTGTAAAACTGGCAACAGTGAAGAGTTGAATTTGCACGGTATTATACTGGAGAGATAAGGAGTTAAGAGGAGAAGGCAGCAAACGGTCCTCTTGCCTAGGAGGACCACAGGAAAGGTGAGGACAGCAGGAAAGATCTTGAATAGCAAGGCCTCTACTGTTCTGCCTTCAGACACTGGTGAAGGGCAGAGCATAGAAAGTAAAGCTTCTACCGCCTGTGAGTCGAGAAGCTTTAGAGGTAGCACAGCACTCTCTCGGTACAGGTCCCTGCTGGACTGGCTGAGGCAGCTAGAAGAAAATAAAGAGTAATCAAACTCAAAATCAAATCACGAAATCAAATATCTCTCTGGGTTGAACAGGGTCCCGTCCTGAGACCCTCTATCTGCTGTGGAAGTTTACAACACCAGAAGAGGACTCCACATCTCACAGGATGTATTTAAATGTTTGAGAATCCGACTTTACAAAAACAGTATGTCACATTTTGTCACCTGAGTTTTATAGCAATAAGATTTAATGTTTCAGGTCCCTGCTGAGGCTGTGGAACCAGATCCAAGACAAATTTAGTTAAAAGCTCTTTTTTTGATCTGCAAGGTGGTCACCAGGTTGAGTTACCTGTGAGTTAGCCGGCATTGAACTCTCAGCTGAATGCAAAGCTTGTCCCTTCAAAGCAGAGTCAGGGAAACCTCCAGCCTGCAAAGCCAGGGATTTCAGCTCTGGACTTCATTATGGCTGCATCTGCATGAAACTTCTTCGTCTCTCCCTTTCCTTCCCTCTGCCGTGTTCAGCATCCGTACCTCTTTTACTTCCTCCCTCCCTCCAGTGCTGCCCTTATTTGCTCTGCTGCCCTGGTGCTCTGCTCACTCCTGGCTGCCCTGATGCTCTTGCTTTTCCTTGCTGTGCCCCCTGCCTACCTGGAGGTAGGTCAAGAAACCCTGAACATACACCACCAGTCATGGGATAGAGCTGTTGAGATCCTTATTCAGACTATGAAGCATCCCTCCTGCCATGTGCAAGGTGTGGGGGAAGCAGTAGATGACGTGAGGATGCTCTTTTGTAACGCTGAATAGCTTCATTGAACAGCCTTTTTCAGCTATGAACACAGCTAGTGAGAGAATTTTCACTGAAATGAATAGACAGAAGAAGATCACAAAAAAAAAGCGCCATAGCTCTGGATATTAGTTTTTCAGTGTATTTTTATATTGTATTTTCATTTAACTTTTCTTCATAAAAGACAAACAAGAATGTCCAGCCCAGCAATACCTACGGATGAACTGAAACTCAGAAGAGTGTAGTTCTGTGTTTCACCGCTGGATGGTGATGCACAACTTATTTTGGCGAGCGTGGGGAAGCCAGTGCTGTCTACGGCTGCGGTTTTGCAGGGACAGATGATATTCTCTGACAGAGCAAAGATTGAAACAAAAACAACCAAAAACAAAACCAGAGCACTTGTGGACACAAAAACTGTTGTTCAGGATCGTTTGCCCATTTTTTTGTAAGGACCTCAACTGATCTAATAACTTCAGTTACAGCTTTAATTGTTTCAGATTTAACTGGTGAAACACAAACTAGTGTTTGTGGTTTTAAAGTTCCTGTGAAAACTGCAGAAAAAAAGAAGTAAGATCATCTGCTTCCACAAATGATGCATTTGTCTCGCATGAAATCCTCCCCGAATATCATCAGCGTTATCCCATCGCTGGATCTGCTCTCTGCTGTGTTGTTTACTCACAGTTGCATTTTTAGCTGTACTGTTTTACAGTTAGTCTCTAGGAAGTGTTATAGTATTTTATATCTAAAATCACTGTGTTCATATGGAGAAAGGTATAGAAAGAGGGAACAAGATATTAAATATCTGTGCACTACAGACATTTGTAGGTCGGGCTCACCTGTTAATTGATTTCCTTTGTGAAGAGCTCTCAGTGAAAGCAGGACTCTATTTTGCTGAGGACTGAAGTCACTAATGGATGGGAGGAGATCCCCTTCAACAAGCATCCTCTGAGGCAGGAAAGCCTGGAACTTGTTTATGGTCTGTAAATCCGTAGAGAAGTGTGTGGCTGCAATGAAATCTACACCATTAGCCCAGTCTTCACCAAAATTTGCTTCTGGATCAGAGAGGTATTTTAAACTGAAAGAGATTAAAATAAAAATGTAACAGGTAATTGAAATCCCCTGTAGAACACATCAGTTGATCATTTATCCCAAACGTGTTTTGCTCAGTATAAAGTCCTGAGCGATCTCAATGCCACAGTGACTTAAAACTCCCTTCGGCACTTTACACCTAATTTCTCCTGGTATCACTGCCTGTGCCTGAACTAAACACGGCTCCTGACTCTGGCCCTGCCTCCCGGAGAGGAATCAGCATCTCATTTTAAGCCCACAGCCTGCCCACGCATCACAGCCTGGGCAGCCACCTCTCACTGCTCATCCCATGCTCTGAGAGAACAGAAGGAAGAGTAGAGCCTAAAGAGCGGAAGCCTAAAGTAAGAAAGCTCATGCAGACTTTGTTGAGATACTATCCTTCCAAAGAGGTACACAGGTGAGAACACCCGCCTTGGCCACCCCTCTCGTCCCCGTACCTGTCCTGGAACTTAGGCAGCGCGTAAGCAATGGAGGCGACGTGCGCCTTCCACATGAAACCGAGGGCATCATCCACTTTGAAGGAGGAGACGACTGCAGAGCTCATGGCTTTGTGTTCTGTAGATAACAGATACTGCAGCAACAGGGAGGGAAAAAAGGTAGAGAAACAAGGGGGTAGTTTAAACTCCTGGTTGCTTGCACTCCCCAGGCTGCTTTTCGTAGGTGTGGGGGTGACTGTTGTTGCTCTGGCAGTGCCCAGGCCACATCAGCATCTCCCGTGAGAACTGGCAGCTCCTGAGGGGTCCCTCCATTCCCTTGGCATTTTCCTGCCTCAGGAAAACCTGCTGTGCATCAAGATCCATCGCTCCACTGAGGATCAGGCCAGTTCCAGAGCAGCTCTCCCTTGGTGATTGACCAGTCTTGATCCTAAAACCTCCACCTTCACTCAACAGTTGCTGCGAGAGACTTTGGGTTTAAATATCCTGATCATTATCCATTATTTGACTACCAAGAAAAATGTTGAATATAGAAGTCTATTTACAAAAATAGTCATTGAATCTATGGAGTAAGAAATATTGCCATGCTTGGGATTAGGGAACAGCTGAATGAGGAGGAAAGAGAATATCTACTTGCATAAATAAATGTCCTTCTGAATGAAGTTTCAGTATTTTCAGTTTTTTAGATGTTGAAAGGAGTAAACGAACCCTATAGAACCAACGCAAGGCCGTTTCTCAAGGGTCGTGTTCTATCTCGCATGCTTATTTTTCAATGTTAATGTAAGCAGTGTAGGAAGAATACAAATATAACTTAACAAAACAGTCTCTTGTGGCAGACTCCAAAATACAGAACTGTCTTAAAGGAAGACAAAAGTCTATAACCTGTAAAAATCCTAGCCTTCTTATCTCTGACTCATTTTATGCTATACTTTTCATTTTTCTGCTTGTTAAATTTATGTCAAGCTCTTATTGAAAGCAAACCAAGCTCTCTGAATCTTGCAAATAACAATGATAATAGTTTTTAAAGGTAATATTCTGGTATCATTTCCTACAAAAAAAAAAGAGTAAAATTACTTACTTCGAAATAGGCCTTCCAGTCATCCATGAGCTCGGGAATGCGAGACCGGCAGTCGGCAACGCTGTAACAGAAATCATCTCTTCGCTCCTCTGGTGGCAAGAGTTCTATCTCATAGTGCAGCTGCCCAAAGAGGCCAGCCTCCACTGCCCCCAGAAAGGGTATGACAGCCAGGTAGTAGTTCATACCTGTAGCAATAATTAAGAAGAAGGAGGTGTTAACCACAAGCAAATGAAAAATTCCCGCGTAGCAAAATGAACGCTCTCCCATACCGAATGTAACTGTTTCAAATTGCCCCTGACACAACTGTGTTCGGCAGTGGGACGTATGTACTGAAATGCACTAATGATGGTATCTGCATTGTTTAGATAGGATTTGTAATATTCATTTATATATTGTCCTTTAATAGCCTTGCATCAGCTGACAGTGTGCTATACTTTGCAGGAAAGGACAAACAACTAAAAAAGTTAGGTCTTTATAAATTGTCACAGACAGGACATCAAAGATCTCTCATGTATTAGTTGCAAACTAAGCACAGAAAGACTAAGGGATACTTCATGAAATTTTTTTTCATTAAAAAAAACCCTCTTCTATGCATCCTAGACATATAAGAAAGGAAAAGACAAATACTAGTGATATTTTACTGGAAAATAATAATTTTGCTCATAAAAGGATCCCACTCACTGAAAACTTCTTGGAAATTACCTCAGTTTGTTTGTTTAGATTTATTTTAACATGATGTCTTCCTTTGGTCTGATCCATCAGTTGAAGCTGTCAGATCCAGCATGTAGGAAACTCAAGTTCAGTTCTCACCTATGCCAGGCCACATCTCCAGTGAGAGTGCCCATAGGACTATTTGATCCTCCTCATTTGAAAGGAAGATTTTAAATTCTCCTCTTAATTGTGTCCTCTTCGTAGAAATAAAGTTTAATAACTTTCAGTAAAGAAGAGCCTGGAGGACAGCTGCTCTCCCTCTTGGGCGGGTATTTCTGAGTCGTTGCACTGAGAAATCATTTGCTCGTGCTTGGTCTCAGGGCCACGGACCGCTGAGGTATTTTGTACACAGTCCCAGCAGTGAGGACCAAAATCATCAAAACCTGACCACCTACCATGTATCCCTGTTCTACTCATGGGAAACGATTGTTTCACCTCCTGTATGTGAGCCTGGCTGGGAATTCAGGAGGAAATGTATGGCCAGGCAGAAGAGCAAAGGAAAAGTCCCAAGTGATGAGAAGACAGTGTCTCACTGGGAGTCATTGCTAAGCTGGGTCCTGCTTTTGTTCACTATTTTCATGAGAAGTGTTGAAACTTGGATTTCATGTCAGAAAGTACTTACATTCCTTTAAGTAGCCTTGCACAGATTACATATTTGTATCTGCTTAAGGGGATCAGAGGACAGAAAACAATAACAACAAAAAAAGTCGTTAAGCAGAGTGTCTCACATGCCTTGTGTTACATTATACGTGAATTTCTGATTTAAGCTCATTCCTGGCTTCATATGACTACTCATCACAGAATCACAGAATGTCAGGGATTGGAAGGGACCTCAAAGGATCATCTAGTCCAATCCCCCTGCCGGAGCAGGACCACCTAGATTAGATCACACAAGAACGCATCCAGGCAGGTTTTGAACATCTCCAGAGAAAGAGACTCCACAACCTCTCTGGGCAGCCTGTTCCAGTGTTCTGTTACCCTTACTGGGAAGAAGTTCTTCCTCATGTTTAAGCGGAACCTCCTATGTTCCAGCTTATATCCATTTCCCCTTGTCCTATCATTGGATGCCACTGAGAAGAGCCTGGCTCCATCCTCATGGCAGTCACCCTTTACATATTTATAAACATTAATGAGGTCCCCCCTCAGTCTCCTCTTCTCCAAGCTAAAGAGACCCAGCTCCCTCAGCCTTTCCTCATATGGGAGATGCTCCACACCCTTAATCATCTCTG